CTGGGAGACATGGGGATGGAAATAAATGGGTGTAAAGGATGGCCTAGACCTGGTCCTGGCTTAAACTGGTGCCAAGAGGACATTTTACTGGTGCCACCAGTTGCCTGCTCTGATGTATGGGAGCTGCAGCCACCGGATCACCCCTTCCCACACACCAGACCCTTGAGCATCGTTTGGGGTCTGGGGTTTTGGGGTAGGCACAGGTGGTCCCTGAACCCTGCCAGGGTGTGAGGGAGGGGGACTGATGTACCCCAGGGTGTGGGAGTCTGGGTCCCTCTGCTCTCCCTTGGGGGGGCTCTGGAACCCCCTCGAATTGCTTTGATAGCAGTTTGGGAAGGAGATGCGTTTGTGCAGGAAGGAGCTCAGCTGCCTCCTGTGGGCCTGGGCAGGTCCTGGGGTCCTTTGGGATTGGGGTGACAGTCAGCCCACGGCAGAGATGGAATTCAGGGATCTTTTTGACCCCAGGAATGGGGCACGGAGCGGGCTGGGATGGAATGGGGGTGCTGGGGAGGAACTGGGGGGTGCCAGGTGGGGCTGGGGGGAATGGGATGGGCTGAGGGGTGTTCTGGGAATGGACTGGGGGTGTGCTGGGGATGGACTGGGGTGTGGCAGGTATGGGTGAAGGGTGGTGGGCTGCTGGGGATAGGCTGGGGGCTTGCTGGGGAGGAACTGGGGGGTGCTGAGGGTGGACTGGGGGATGCCAGGAAGGACTGGGGGTCGCTGAGGAAGGTCTTTGGGGGGTGCTGTGGAGGAACTGAGAGGTGCTGGGGGTGGGTTCGGGTGTGCCTGGAGGGGCTGGGGGTTTCCTTGGTTGGGATCAAGATGCCAGGCTGGAACAGGGAGGGCATCTCTGCTGGAGCCAGACACGTTTCCCAGCATCAGTCACATCCAGACTGGTCCCTCTTGACGCTGTCGAGGGGTTTCTGCAGGGCTGTGATTTCAGGAGTGCCCTTGTGCTTTGGGCTCCAAAGTCCCACAGAGTCTGAACTCAGCTCTGGAGACTAAGCTAGGAGCTGGGGCTCCTGAATCCAGAGGGTTTCAGCAAGTGGTTCTCCCTGGGGATGGGAAGCCAAGGCAAGAGAGTTTGTGGAAGGCACAGGGACCCTCAGCCATCCTTGAGTGGGGCATTGCTTGGATCAAAATATTGGAGGGAGAAGAAAGCACCAAGCAGGGTTTGTTGAGCTGAGTGGAGATGCTCAGGGCTGTGGAGATGCTCAGGGCTGTGGAGATGCTCAGGGCTGTGGAGATGCTCAGGGCTGAGCCTGCTGGAAATGCTTTGCCGAAATCCCAGGGAGAGATGCTGCCATCCCACTGCTCCAGAAAATGCCACTGGGTGCCAAAGAGGTGGCACTGGGGTCTCCTTGAGCATCTCTGATGTTGATCAAGGGCTCAGCACCCAAAAAATACCCTCCAAGGCAGGCAGGATGGAGCCAGGGATGTGCAGGACAGTCTCATCTCCCTGGCTGCTCCCAGGCAGGGTGTGCATTTGCCTCCAAGCATCACTTGCTTCAGGCTCACAGGATGGCTCATAAAACCATATAAGCTCCTGTAAAACCGCATTAACTTTAGGCTGAAAACTATTTAATGTTAGAAACGTAAGGGATATAATGGGATTTTTCCTGGAGGCATTAGCAGCACGGAGCTGGAGCGCAGTATGATGTCAGGGGAGTGGGATGATGTTAATTTTTAGGTTTTACACATTAAATGGCCACGTGGAGCTTGGGCTGGGCATGCTGGGGGTTTGGAGGTGCCACTCGGTTCTGGTGCTCCTGGAGATGATTTGTAGGTTCCAGGGTGCTGCCAGCAGGACAAGTACAGAGACTTGCTCGGGGGGGAATTACTTGTATTTTTTTGGTGCATCCCAGGGCCAGGCTTTGCAGCTGGAGCTCTTTGTGGTGGCTGCTGGTGGCATCACCTGTAGGATCCAGGTGGCCTGGAGAAGGAGACTTGTCCCCAGTTTTGGCTGTGGAAAAACACCCCGTGGTGGCTCCTGGGGCCGTGTTTTACCTCGCTGGGGAAGCCACGGTGTGGGAGCAGGATGATTCCTGGCTCTGGATGCTGGTGCCCAGCACTGGCAGGATGTGGGACCTGGCTCCCACTGCTGTGACCAACCTCCATCCACTGCAGCCTGAGTGGCTGTGGCATGACCCCAAGGCCACACAGGGACCCCCATCCCCATCAAAAGCAGGAGGGCAGAAGAAGTGATTCTGCCCCTGGACTGGGCACTGCTGAGGCCTCACCTCGAGTGCTGTGTCCAGCTCTGGGCCCTCAGCTCAGGAAGGACATGGAGGGGCTGGAGCAGGTCCAGAGAAGGACAACGAGGCTGGGGAAGGGTCTGGAGCACAAGTGCTGTGAGGAGCAGCTGAGGGAGCTGGGGAGGCTCAGCCTGGACAGGAGGAGGCTCAGGGGAGACCTTCTCACTCTCTGCAACTCCCTGACAGGAGGGGGGAGCCGGGGGGGGTCGGGCTCTGCTCCCAGGAACCAGCAGTAGGACAAGAGGGCACAGCCTGGAGCTGCACCAGGGCAGGTTTAGGTTGGACATGGGGAAGTTCTTCCCAGAGAGAGGGATCAGCCCTTGGAATGGGCTGCCCAGGGAGGGGGTGCAGTCCCCGTCCCTGGAGGGGTTTGAGCAGAGCCTGGATGTGGCATCAGTGCCATGGTCTGGGTGACAAGGTGGGGTTGGGTCATGGGTTGGACTGGATGATCTCAGAGGTCTTTTCCAACCTGGCTGATTCTGTGATTCTGTGGAAAACATCCCAGCTCCCACAGATGACAGAATAAGGCAGGGAACCCCCTGCTCCTGCTGTGTGCCCATCGCTCTGCCACGGCCCTTGGCAGCTGTGCTGAGCAGCTCCAACAGCCTCTTTGCTTATTCCCATCCATAAAATGCTGCAGCCTGTTTTTTCCCTGTTTTTAAAGCCGACTGGCAGGTTCCCCAACCTGCTTGAGCATCCTGGAATGTGCATGGGGGGCTGTGCCAGGGGGTTGCTCTCCGTTAAAGCCACTGGGGTTTCTCACACTGAGGATGTGCTTAAAAGCAGATCAAGGCCAGATTTTTGTTTTTCTGTTGGAATCATCATTTTCTGTTTCCAAAATACACATCAAATTGTAGCACAGGTTGCCTTGTGGCTGCTGGGAGAGAAACCTGGCAGTGCAGGACCCTGGGATGTGCAAATCCCATCCCCCAGCCTGGCTGGAAGAGGAGAAAACATATGAAAAAAAAAACACCACTTTTTATGTTGAAGTTTAGAAAGGATTCCTGGGGTTCTGAGGGAGCAGCAGGGACGTGCACCGGCAGTGCCTGCCTGTGGCTGTGCAGCGCTCACCTGACTCCCTGTCACCTCCCACTCCTTTGGGATGCTAAATATATCCCGAGCCGGGCGGGGGAGCAGGAACCGCCGTTGTGTCTGTGCTGGTGAATATTTGCTGCTTTTTTCCCTGTTTGTGCTAATTCTGTAGCGTTTCCAGCCCTGTCTAAATAAAGTGAAGGTGATTTCCAGAAGAGGAGGAGAAGCTGATCAGCTCTTGCTCCCGGGCAAGCAGCACATCACTTGTGCTTCTTATAGATGTTCATTTAAATATGTTCATTTAAATCCCTTTTTCCCCCCAATTAAAACAAATAGGGTTTTTAAAATTTATTTCTTTTTAGATTTATTTTTAAACCAATTTAAATCGGATGCTGGGACAACTTTAATACACAAAGTAGATGTAATGCAGTTGATTTGGTGAGGCCCTGGCACAGGTTGCCCAGAGAAGCTGTGGCTGCCCCTGGATCCCTGGGAGTGTCCAAGGCCAGGTTGGATGGGGCTTGGAGCAACCTGGGCTAGTGGAAGGTGTCCCTGCCCATGGCAGGGGGTGGAACAAATTGAGCTTTAAGGTCCCTTCCAACCCAAACTATTCTGGGATTCTATGATTTACACTTTCTAAAAGGCTTTGGTGGTGTATCTGTGGATGAGCTGCTGCCGTGCCAGGCTTGCTCTCCGAACCTTGCTCTGCCTGTGTTTGCTCCTTATTTCCATTGTTTCAATAATTCCCTCCATCTTTCCAACCTGAGAAACCCCCTTGGATGGCAGAAAGAGACCGGGGCTCAGGAAATAAAGGTGTTTTTTAAGCAATGAGAGCACCAGGCTTTTGCTGTTCGTTAACGAACCTTTAGGGACTAATTGGCTGAATCACAGCTCTGCCTCAGCACATCTTGACAGAGCTCACTTTTCCAAGCGAGATGATGCCCTGACATTGTTAAAAACCCTGGGAAAATGAATAAATGATCCGGAGTGTGATGGTTTAAATGAGCCTGAGCAGATGTGGTGCGGAGCAGCCGCGGGCTCTGCGGGCAGGATGCTGCGGGTGCACGCGAGGCCGAGGAGGGCGGGTTTGTGTCTCCTTCTGCACCCCCAGCGCTCCTCACTAGCGTAGACAGAGGATGACACGGGCTCTGGAGCGGTAAATCCATCCCCAGGGAGCAGCAGGAAGGGTTCTGGCCAGGCCTCGGGCAGCAGCTGCCGCCTCAGATCCAGTGGCTGTGCCGGTCCGAGGAGGCTCAGCCGTGCGGACGGGATGTGCCCTTGGAACCCTCAGTGCTGAGGGTGTGCAAAGCCCAGGGAGCTGCTTTGCTGTGCAGACACACCACCTCCCTCTGCAGCACTGCCTGCTTCCTTCTGGGAATTTAGCACGCCTGTTTTGCTGGGGATGATGGAAAAATAAGTGGGAGATCAGCGGTGGACCCTAAATTGGTGTGGTGCATGGCAGGGAGCCACCAAGAGCTCCTTTCCAACCCAAACCGTTCTGTGATTGTCTGATTTACACTCTCTAAAAGGCTTTGGACGTGGTTCCTTTGCTTCTTTAGGAGATGAGCCGATACCTGATGAGACCAGAGATCCTTAAATCACCACCTGCATCCCAATGGAAAAGCACATTCCAGGTGTACATGGTGTGCAGCCGGGCACTGCCACGTGTGCCAGACCCCTCACCAATGCTTTGTCTTCTTTCTTGTCTTGCAGAGCCGAGAAGACTGAAGTGTTGAGCGAAGATCTCCTGCAGGTGAGGTCCTCTGTGAGGTCTCACCCATTCCCAGGTGTCCATGGGTGCCTGGGCACCCACCTCTGGGTGCTGGCTGGGTCAGCAGCTCCATGTCAGTCTGTGCTGCAGCGTCCCACAGGAATGAGGCGGGCTGGGAGGAGGAGGAGGGGGCTGGGAGTGTGGGAAGCAGCAGTGTCTCCCTCCCACGTGCCTCCTGGCCCTTTCCCAGCCTGGTTTCCAGGTCAGCTGGAGTCGGATCCAGTCTTATCTCTGCCAGGATGGCAACCTGATCCAGCCAGCCAGATTGTGGGTGCCTGTTCTCCGTATCCTGCCCTGGGGAAGGGACATGTGACAGCAGGGGATGGTTCCCAAAGCTGATGGCTTGGGTGATTTCAGCCTCCCGTGGTGCCTTGGATTAGCAGCTGGGATGCCCAGGTCATGTGTCCTGGCTTCCTGCATGCCCCGGGAGGGGAAGTGCCAGCAAAGGGATGTGAATTCACAAATCCATCACCAAATTTGTGGAATCATGGAGTGGTTTGGTTTGGGACCTTAAAGATCAACTCATTCCACCCCCTGCCGAGGGCAGGGACACCTTCCACCAGCCCAGGTTGCTCCAAGCCCCGTCCAACCTGGCCTTGGACACTCCCAGGGATCCAGGGGCAGCCACAGCTTCTCTGGGCAACCTGTGCCAGGGCCTCCCCACCCTCACAGAGAGGAATTTCTTCCCAATATCCCATCTAACCCTGCCCTCTGGCAGTGTGAAACCATTCCCCCTTTTCCTGTCCCTCCAAGCCCTTGTCCCAAGTCCCTCTCCAGATTTCTTGGAGCCCCTTTAGGCACTGGAAGGGGCTCTAAGGTCTCCCTGGAGCCTTCTCTCCTCCAGCCCTTGGAACATCTCTGACTCCAACAGTGTCACACAGGGGATTTTTACATCTTTGGGTGATAATTCAATAGGGAGGGTGGTCGGTGCCACCTTGTCCAGGTGTCTCCCAAAGGACCAGTGTTGTTTGCAGGGGTCTTTATCTAATTAACTCCAGTTTGGCTTATTTAGATGGGTGCACACCCACATGACCATCATACCCCTTCTTTCCAACATATACACAAATGTGTGTGTATATATAATATATATAATTTATATATATATAATTTTATATATATACATGTCCACGTGTATGGTGAAAGGAACATATATATGCTGCAAGGAGGACAGAGACTGCTCCACCTCAGCCAGACATCCTGAAAATCTATTATTTGTTAAACATATATAATATTTATATATTAATATATTATATTATGTATGTATATATTATTATATATTGTATAGTATATATTATTAGTAATATATATTACTATAGTGATGGAAAATAGCTCAGCCTGAGTTCCAGGCTCCTGTGAGGTGCCTCCTGCCTCAAGGACTTGCTGCAGGCTCAGGCAGGGAATATTTCTTTTCTTCCCCCTGGATCATTTCCCAAGATTTTGAACTTTAGAGCCTATTTCTCTTTTTCCACATTGTATCCCCAGATTTTGAGCTTTCCATGTTTTCCCCACATCTCTCAGCTCTGCTTTTTGACAGATCTTGGTTGCTTACGTTTAATGCCTCATCTTGCTGAGTTTTGGGGATGAATTGCTTAATTTAATCAATTCAGGTGATTTTCAGTGATTGGCCAGTTTGGGCTTGGCAGGGGATGGACACTGGGCTTTGGAGGCTGCTCCAGATCCAGGGTCAGAAGGGGCAGCAGCACCTCTGCTCTGCCATGGCTTTGGTCTCTGGTGCTGTCACATCCAAGAGAGGAACAACTCAAAGCACTCTGGTGGCAAAGCCCCCTGTGTCCCTGCCCGGGCCAGGCGGGATTCCCGGGGCATGGACACGGCTGCATCCGCAGGTGGAGAAGCGCCTGGAGCTGGTGAAGCAGGTGTCCCACAGCACCCACAAGAAGCTGACAGCATGTCTGCAGGGCCAGCAGGGCGTGGACGCCGACAAGCGCTCGGTGAGGGCTCCGGGGGCTCCGGGGGGTCGGGGCTCCGGGGGTGCCGGGGGTGCCGGGGTGGGAACGCAGCCCCTCTCTTTGCAGAAGAAGCTGCCGCTGACGACGCTGGCCCAGTGCTTGATGGAGGGATCTGCTGTGCTGGGAGATGACTCCCTGCTGGGGTAAGGGGGGCCCGGGGCTGCCCCAGAGCTCTGACACTGCTGGGGGGGTGCTGGGATGCTGCTGCCAGGAATCGCTGCTGTTCCTTATCTGTGGTGCTGGATAACAGGGAGGGTTTCAAAGCAGTCTGGGAGGGCTGGGGTGCTCCTGCAAGCTCCTTAGTGCTTTTTTTTTCTGGTTGTGAGCTGGAGTCCTTTGGCCATGCACTATACCATGTAAAGTGTATGTGTATATATATATCTTAAGTAACTTAATATATCCATAACTTAAGAAACTGTACATGTATGTGTATAATTCTTAACCAAGTCCTTTGGTCATGCAGTATACAATGTAAACTATGTGTGGATAAGTAACTTATATCTATAACTTAAGAAACTATGTATATAATTCTTAACAAAGTCCATACCGTTTCAGACTGTAACTGGTACAATATTTAGGGAATGGGGAATGAGATTTCCTGACAGCCACAGAGCCCACGGTCCCCCTCTCTCCAGCCCCTCCACCAAGGACAGGCTGCCCCTCACCACTGCCCAGACCCCCAGGGGTGTTGGGTGCCCTTTGCCCACCCCCGTGGGTGCAGGACAGCCACCCCCTGCCCCCCAGCCCCGCGGTGCCCAGCTGTGCCCGTGTCCCTGCAGGAAGATGCTGCGGCTGTGCGGGGAGGCCGAGGACAAGCTGGCACAGGAGCTCATCCACTTCGAGCTGCAGGTGGAGAGAGACGTCATCGAGCCCCTCTTCGTGCTGGCTGAGGTGAGCAGCGTGGGGGTGTCACTGGGTGGGGGTGTCCCCGTGCTGGGGACTCACATCTGACTGGGGAAAGCACCCCTTGGGCAGCTTGGTCGGTTCCTGGAGCTGGGCTGGGCTGGAGCGTGTCCTGCTGGGCTCCACCTGCTCCCACTGCTCTTCCTCCTTTCTGCCTTTCCCAAGGGCAGTGGGTTAACACTCTTATTTCAGACCCATTTTTCCAACCTCCAAACACTCTTTGGTGTTGGGATTTCCCTCCCCCTCTTTTCCACCCTGCTGCCAACTTTGTTTTTCAATTTTACCCAATGCTTTTTTCCCCGCTTTTACACCCAGAAAAACATCCTGGGCTTGGTTCTGATTTTGTCTTCCCCAGCAGAAGGAGAAGCTTTGAGGCACTACTGGTGTCCAGGGATTTCAGCTGTTACCAAATCCTTTGGGAAGTGGTGGCCATGCATGGGGGGCTTTGCACTGCCATCCCCAAAAGCCCTTTTCCTTCCCTCATCCAGCTCCCCAGGGCAGGAAGCTTTGATCCCCCAAGGATGCTCCTCTTGGGTTCTGCAGTTGGAGCTGTCAAGGTGTGGCACAGCCCCTGTGGGGACACAGAGGAGGGATGAGCTGTGCCATCTCCCTGATGGTGATGATAAAACAAGGAGCTGCATCCTTATCTTGCCCCAGCCCAAACTCCCGGTGTGAGTGACCCATTCCTGGACACCTCTCCAGGGATATTTGTCTCCTCCCATTCCTGTGTGTCGCTGCAGGTGGAAATCCCAAATATCCAAAAGCAGAGGAAGCACTTGGCAAAGCTCGTGCTGGACATGGACTCCTCCAGGACGAGGTAGGAAGTGGCTTCAAATGCTTTATGAAAAATAAGAATTCCCAAGGGATGATTAGCTCCAGGGAGAGCAGGTCCTGGACTCCTGGCACTGCAGTTCCCTTGGGTCAGTAAGTGTCTGCTGTGTCACTACGTGCCTTCAAGTCAAGCTCTGCAGTGAGCCACAATTTCTGCTCCTGTCTGCAGAATCCACGGATTCCTTTTCCTTGCCTGCCCTCTGCAGCAAAAGAGTATTTTTTTCTGGCAGAAATCTGTATTTTGCTCCTTCTTTTCCCTGTCTTGGGGAGTTCTGATGTGCTGGCAAAGAGCTGGGTGCTCCTGCCACTGCAGGGATTGTCCTGTGGCACCACTGAGTTGTCCAAGGCCCCACTTCACAGCACATCCTGGGGAGAGGTTTGACAGGTGTCCCTTCATCTCTCCCCCCACCTGGATGAGGCTCATTATCCTGCTGAAAATAATGACTTCATTAGAGCCCCGAGTGTACCTCTGGCTGTGGGGATGGGGAGTTGGGGCTGGGAGTGGATGCTGCATCCCAGCTGGACTGGGATCATCTCCGTGGTGCTCAGCCCTGGGGACCATGGTGGGCTTGGCTGAAGGGGGTCCCTGTGCTGCCCTCCAGGTCTGCTGAGATGTGCTCCCTGGTCCCTACAGGTCCCTGTCCCCCCCTGTGACAGCTCTGCCCTCTCCACAGGTGGCAGCAGTCCGTGAAGTCCTCGGGCCTGGCCAGCAACCTGCAACCCTCGGGCGCCAAAGCCGACGCTCTCAGGGAGGAGATGGAGGAGGCAGCCAACAGAGTGGAGATCTGCAGGGTACCCAGGGCTCCTGGGGGGACCACTCCTTGCTGGGGGGAATGATCTTGGTGTCCCAGATGCCGTGGAAAACCTGCAGCCTCTCCTCTTACCCTGCTCTTCATCTTTTCGTACCCCACTGCCTGTGCTGGTCCCCAGACACAGCCTGGTGGCAGTGGGTGATGTTCACCAGCCAGGCAGGGCATCCCCAATTCCTCTGTCCCCATCCTCCTTATCCCACTGGAGCTGGAGAGCATCCCATTCCCAGGGGACCCATCCTGGCAGGAGCCAGTGAGCTCAGCACTGAGCACACCCAGCCCTGGCCCAGAGTCCTGCTGTTAGAGACATTTCTCTCCCTTCTCTGTGCTGGATTTATTTCCCATAATTTTCAAGCACTAAGAGGGACTTGAACTCCCTTCTGTGGGTTAAGGGAGACTCGGATTCCCCTTCTGTTGCACTTCATGAGGGTCTCAGACCCCCTGCACTGCTCAGGCTGTGCACTATAAACAAGCTGCAGGGCTCTCTAACACTAAGAGGGTCTCAAACCCACAGTATCTTCACCAGATCTGCTCAGGGAATTGTAACACTAACCCTTGAGTGCCTCCCACTCTGTAGGTCCCGGGTGAGCTCAGCCACTGCTGGCAGTTGGATGTTTGGAGATGGGAGGATCTGAAGGTGGTGGCCTGGGATTCCACCTGGGTCACCAAGTTGTTATAGAAATTTCTCTCCTTTAGATTTCCCACAGAAGAGTCTCAGACATCCAATTCCAAGAAAGAATAATTTAATAATTATTTGGTGCAGCAGTGGGAACAACTCCATCTGGTGGAGCTGTTCAGGGACCCTGAACAAAGAAAACCTGGGACTTTTTACCCATTCAGTTGATGTCCCCGTTCTTCCCGTGCTCACACTTCTTGGTCCTCTGGTGATTTTGGGTCTGGGGTCCTCTAACACCTCACTGGATTCTCTCTCCATGTCCACACAGACAGGTCAATAACTGTTCTTACCTTCTGGCTGGTGTAACTGAGTAACAAGCTTGATTTATATTTACTATCCACCTTATCTCTACCAAGGTCTCATGCCTTTTCTGTTGCCTGTTCTTGAAGGTCTTTTCCCTTGAGCCCTCTTATCTGGTGGGATAAGTGGACCCAGCCTCCATTTCCTCCCCTGCTCACGCTAAGTTCTGAGCAGGGCCCACTGTGATGCAAATGAACCCTAAGTAATAACACAATTAATTTCTAATATTCTGAAAGTGAACTTAATTTAATTCCCAACACCTGCAGGAAGTGCTGGCATGTGCCAAGCCCACATCACCCCCCACCATCCCACAGGGCCATGATCTCCCCAGCTGGTCAGGCTGGGTGGGAGAAGTGTCCAATCCAGGGGGGGACACTGCAGCCAGCACCTTTGTCATGGACTGTGGGATTCAGTGATAAAACCCACTGGAAGTTTTCTGTGACTTTGAATTCTCCTGGGGCAGAAGATGCGAAGGGCTGGGCAAACCTGGTGCTGTGGCATTGGGCAGGTTGGGGGCAGGAGATGGAGCTGTGTGAGTGTCTCAAATCCTGGCTCTGTCCTCCAGGGACACAAACAGAACCCACATCCTTTGAAATACAAACTCGGGCTGTGTCTCCCCCTCTTGGGGCATCTCAGCCCCACACACCCAGCAATTTCCAAGCAGACAAGTGCAGCTGGGAACTGCCCCCAGTGCATTTCCTGCACTGGTGCTGGATGTTGCAGCTAGACGGTATTTCAAAGCCTTGATGGTTTTCCTCCAGTTGAATTATCCCAGGGGATTCTCGGAAAGGAGTAATCCGGGAAGTGGCAAAGCCTTATTTTGCGAGCGTGAAATTTCCACAGTGCTGGAAAATTGTGGGCTCTGGAAGGAGGTACAGGGGGTGAGGTGGGAGGTGTCTGCGTGGTGGCAGAGAGCAAATCCCCGGGGTGCTGCCATACACTCAACATCCCCAGCACATCTCGAGTGGGGGCTGCGCTGTGCCACGCTGGCTCCTGGCGTGACCAAGCTGGGCCCTCCTGGCGTGACCAAGCTGGTCCCTCCTGGTGACCCCCCGAGGTGCCCCCAGGGCAGCACGAGCGGGACGGTCACTGATCCTCTGCTCTCCGCAGGACCAGCTCTCGGCTGACATGTACAATTTCGTGGCCAAAGAAGTAGACTATGCAAACTATTTCCAAACTGTAAGTGCTGCCCGTCCCCTTGGGGCTCCCATGTCCCCGTGTCCCCGTCCCCCATGTCCCTGTCCCCCACTCGCCTGCCTGTCCCCCCATGTCCTGCCCCATGTCCCTGTCCCCCCATGTCCCCGTCTCCCCGTGTCCCTGTCCCCCCATGTCCCTGTGTCCCTGTCCCCCTGTGTCCCTGTCCCCCCCATGTCTCTGTCCCACTGTGTCCGTGTCCACCCCATGTCCCTGTCCCCCCATGTCCCCGTCTCCCCATGTCCCTGTCCCCCTGTGTCCCCATCTCTCCATGTCCCCGTGTCCCCGTGTCCCTGTCCCCCCATGTCCCTGTGTCCCTGTCCCCCTGTGTCCCTGTCCCCCCCATGTCCCTGTCCCCCCCATGTCCCTGTCCCCCCATGTCCCTGTCCCCCCCGTGTCCCCGTCCCCCCGTGTCCCCGTCCCCCCGTGTCCCTGTCCCCCCATGTCCCTGTCCCCAGCCCCGGCCGCGGGGGTGACGCCGGTGCCGTGTGTCCGCAGCTGATCGAGGTGCAGGCCGAGTACCATCGCAAGTCCTTGGCGCTCCTGCAGAACGTGCTGCCCCAGATCAAAGCCCAGCAGGGTGAGTGCCCACGGGGTCTGTCCTGGTCCTGCATGTGACACCGAGGCCCCTGTGTCAGGCCAGCACCAGAGCTGGCTCTGGGGTGACCCCGCAGTGTTGTGGCTGAGCATCCTCCCTTTGCCTGTCCTGTCTGCATCCCGCCTGCTCTGGCGCTGGGGAGGGCATCCCATCCCTACCCCACTTGGCTGTGGGGTACAGGATCCAGCCGGCTTCATGGAAAGGGGGAACCTGACTGATTGTGGCACAGGCTGCCCGGAGAAACTGTGGCTGCCCCATCCCTGGAAGTGTCCAAGGCCAGGTTGGACAGGGCTTGGAACAACCTGGGATGGTGGAAGGTGTCCCTGCACATGGCAGGAGGGATGAACTAGATGGTCTTTTAAGTCCCTTCTGACCCAAACCATAATTTTATGATCCTGGCAATGAATCCTGTCCACTTTAAGGTGGTTTTTTTTCTGTGTTAATAATACCCTCTTCCCTCTCAAAGTGAAGAACTGTAGAGGATACCTTGGACAAATCAAAGCAGTCTTGGTAGTGCTGCAAAAACTGATTTATCAGTAAGTGTCAGGAAGCTGTAGTCAGATAAACTCTATAGTTATAGGTTTGATTTTGAATGCCACCTCCTGCCCTAATGCCAACCCCAGCACCGAGGGGAGGCTTGGGGTGTCACTCTGTGGTGTGCAGCCTCTGTAGGCACTGGGCTTGGAGCCCAAGGTTGGGGTGAGACCCACATGATGGCCCCAGGAGCAGCTCCTTCACAAGGCAGAGCTCAGGGTCCTGCCATCACTGCAATGGGGCAGGGAAGGATTCATTTGGGTTTTTTTCTCTCATTCCCACAAAATATTCCTGTCTGTAACTGTGATGGAAGAAGGAAGAAATATTGCAAAGGTTTGCCTGTTGTTGCCTGCCCTGGAAAATGTTATCCAGCCCCTTTGAAATGTCCCATGTGATGATTGGAAAACATTTTGTTTGGATTTTATGTTTAAAAAGCACTTCCTGAGCCGCCCAGGACAGAGGGTCAGGGTCCTGTTATTTTAGCATCACCCAAACGGAATATTTTGCTACCAAGAGCCTTTCAGGGAGGGGATGCTGAATCCAGCACCGTCCTCCTCACCCTGTCACCCCCTTTGCCCATCACAGAGGCGTGGATGGAGAAGCCCTCCTTTGGGAAGCCCTTGGAAGAGCACCTGGCTGTCAGCGGGCGGGAGATCGCCTTCCCCGTGGAGGCGTGTGTGACCATGCTGCTGGAGTGTGGGATGCAGGAGGAGGTGGGTCCCATGTCCAGCCACCCTTGCTGGGCTCGATGGAAGGGGCCATGGGTGCCTCTGGGGCAGGGATGAAGAAACGGGGGGCTCTGGGGACACCCCCAGCCCCAAAGCTTGTCCGACGCTGTCCCGTGTCCTCTGCCAAGGGTCTGTTCCGAGTGGCTCCCTCGGCCTCCAAGCTGAAGAAGCTGAAGGCAGCCCTGGACTGCTGCGTGGTGGACGTGCAGGAGTACTCAGCTGACCCTCATGCCATCGCAGGTGAGGGCTCCTCGGGGCAGGGGGGTGGTGGTGTGGGGAGTGGCCCATCCAGGCACCCACTGTGGGCACCCAGAGGGTGGGTGAGTGGCACAAAGTCTAGTTGGATCCCAGTAACTAGTGCTGTAGTCCAGGGTCTACACCCTGATACTGGGTCTGATTTTGTTTAACATCCTTAATTAATGACCTGGCCAAGGGGGGAGGGTGCACCATCAGTGAGCTGGCAGATGACACAACCTGGGGCTGCCCCAGAGTTATCCTGCCATCCACAGGGACCTGGACAGGCTGGGGATGGGCAGAGGGGGTAGGTGCCTCCTGCAGGCATAGGATTGAACCCTGGTTTCCCACTGGGAACCTATTCCCAGCTCAAGGAGCTGTGAATGTCCTAAGCAAAAACAAATGAGGGAGAGCTGGGAGAATGTGTGGTGGAGGGAATTAGGGAGGAGCTGGGAGGGACTAGTGGGGGTGGCAAGGTGCTTGCTGGAGGTCAGGGAGTGCTACAGGCTCCACCAAGCTGGGGAGGCTAGCGGGTGCTCTGGGGTGTGGTGGGTGGGAAGGCTGGGAGGGATGGAGTCAAAATGCCCAGGAGCGAAACCACTTGGTGCCCAACAGCTGGTGCCACCCGCAGTGCCAATGCCTGTGTCCCCTGTGTGCCACAGGAGCCCTCAAGTCCTACCTGCGAGAGCTGCCAGAGCCCCTCATGACGTTTGAGCTGTATGAGGAGTGGATCCAGGCCTCCAAGTGAGTCTGGGGCATCTCCCCCATTCCTCTGTGACACAGGTGGTGGCATTTTGGGTCCCCATGGATAGGTCGGGGGCCATGAGTTATTTCTGACATGGCTCACAACATTTGGGATGTTTCCCCCGGGGACTGAGAGCCAGGAGGTGGGGAGAGGCCCAGCATCCAACCTCCACTGAAAAGGTTTCCTTTTCGCCAGGTTTTGGGGATTAATTTACTTATATAGTGTTGGCAGCAGCCTGAGGGTTTCTCAGGGTCCCCCAGGGCAAGGGTGGAGGGCCCAGGGGTGGGGTGGGGATGAGGGATAACACTCTCTCACACCTCCTCACAGCATCCCAGAGCAGGAGAAGCGGCTCCAGGCTCTCTGGAATGCCTGTGAGAAGCTGCCCAAAGCCAACTACAACAACATCAGGTGAGTCTGGGGCCAGCAGGACACAGGGAGGGGACAGAGAGGCTGTGATCAGCAAATACATGGACACGTTTTGGACCTACCCTCCAGGTATGTGATTAAATTCCTGGCCAAGCTGACCGAGTACCAGGACATGAACAAAATGACACCGAGCAACGTGGCCATCGTGCTGGGGCCCAACCTCCTCTGGCCACAGGCAGAAGGGTGAGGAGTTGGACAGGGGATGCTGGGGAAGGGGCTGAGGGGGAAACTGGGGGCCAAATCCTACTGGAAATGAGACTGGACTGCAGTGGGGTTGCTGAGGGGCTGAGGTTGCTGTGCTGCCCACCACCTTGCAGGAACATGACGGAGATGATGACGACCGTGTCGCTGCAGATCGTGGGCATCATTGAGCCGCTCATCCAGCACGCCGACTGGTTCTTCCCTGGAGGTAGGCTGTGGCTGTGGGGGCAGCATGGGCTTTGTGGGATGTCCTGGCTCTCCCTAGGGAGCTCCCAGATTTATTTTTGCCAGCCCTCTCTGCTTGCCTTGGCTTAGGGCAGGGGCAGGGCAGAGATCTGGCAAGACTCACAGCCGTGTGCCCAACCCGAGATCCCCCCGGGTGTTTCTGCGGAGCCAGTACCCCCTCACTGAGCACACTTATCCCTGTGTCATCCCTCCCTGCTCCTTTCTTCCCCCCCAGACATTGAGTTCAACGTGACAGGCAACTATGGCAGCCCCATGCACGTCAACCACAACGCCAACTACAGCTCCATGCCCTCCCCGGACATGGACCACGCCGACCGCCGGCAGCACGACCAGGCGCGACGGCCCCTCAGCGTGGCCACGGACAACATGATGCTGGAGTTCTACAAGAAGGATGGGTAGGGTCTTTGAAGTGCCAGGGTTTGGGGAGAGGGTGGCTTTGCCAGTGTCCCTGTGATAGGAGCACCTGGGGAGGATGTTCAGCATCCCTGGCTTTGCCGCCACCTCGGGATGGGGTGGCACTGAGCTGGTGGAGGTTGGGTGGTCCTGGGGTGGGAGAACCCCCTGCTCTCCGTGCCAGCCTCTTGAGGATGCTCAGGTGAGCCCAGGGCTTGACTCCCACCCCCAGCCCACTGTAGATGGGAGTGGGGTGGCCCGTGGTGTGACATCCAGGCTGTGCTGTGCTGCAGACAGGTGCCCTGGTGTCCCCAGGGTCTGCAGGCTTTGCTCCAGGGGAAAGCTCCCCATTCCCAGCCTGTGCATGTCCACCCCCATGCTACAGGGACTGCAAATAGTCAGGTCAATTCCAGAAATAACCCCAGGGCTCTCCTCATCCCCAAAAAAGTCCCCATTTCCGGAAAATGTCCCACACCGTCCCTCCCACTGGCATAGCCTGGTCCCCACTGTGCCCTCTCTCTAAGCCCCTGGGCCTCACGGCTGCTGTGCCCAGCAGTGGGCTCTCGCTCTGGGCACTGACCAGTTTTAGGGGTTTTATCACACTAATAATTGTGTGTTTCTGCCCATGCAGCCTTAGGAAAATCCAAAGGTACTGTATCCTCTGCAGTGGTTCTGGGAAGCTGCTGGGATGCTGGGAGGGTGCTGGGTGGGTGCTGGGACAATGCTGCTGTGTGCTGGTACTTGGGCTGGTGGGAGTCACAAGCACATCCCACCCTACCCTGGGTTTATTCCCAGGAGTTTCCCCATGGAGGAGGCGTTTTTAGGGACCGGGCACCTCGCAGGAGCCGCGACGTGGTGCTGGCGGTGCCCTCCCGCCGGGTGGGTGCCGAGCCCCTGTCTCTGTGTGCCCCCAGCATGGGCGTCAGGGTGATGGACACCTCGTGGGTGGCTCGCCGAGGCACCTCCGCGGGACGCAAGGCATCCTCCGCCCCTCCGTCCGCCCAGCCCCCCGCGCCGCCCGCCGAGCTGCCCCCCACGCCCCACTCGCCCATTCCCGAGCAATCGCCGGAGATTTCAGCCACGCCTTCCCCGCCTCCCACCAGCTTCGGCTTCCCGCCGGGAACCGAGCGGACAAGGTAAGGCCACCAGCGCCCCGTGTCCCCAAGCTGGGCACCCTCCCCGTCTGTCAGTCCGGCAGTAGAACAACCCCACTGCACGGGAGAGGCGTTCAGCATTCCCGGGAGAGGAGCAGCATCCTGAGAGGAGCAGGAGGAGGTGCTCAGCATCCCTGGGATAGGAGCAGCATCCTGGAGGCAGTGGGTGGAATGATACTCAGTATCCCTTGGAGAGGAGCAGCATCCCAGGAGCAGCAAGAGGAGATGCTCAGCATCCCTGGGAGAGGAGCAGCGTCCTGGGGGCAGCAGGAGGAGAGGATGTTCAGTATCCCTGGGATAGGATCAGCATCCTGGGAGCAGGAGGAGGAGGAGATGCTCAGCACCCCTGGGAGAGGAGCAGCAGGAGGGCAACAGGAGAGGATGTTTAGCATTCGTGCAGCCACTGCCACATCCCCATCCTGCCATTCCCATGGGAACCATGCTGCCTTCAGGGTCCCTTGCCCGGGTGTAGCAGAATTTGGGCTGGAGGTGCCAGGAAGGTGCAGGGAAAAGCCTCAGGGAGCCCAGAGACCCCTGAGCCCTTTTACTGCCGAGGGTCTGTCTCCAACAGGTCAGATGGGACAAAGTGCCTAAATCCCACTTTCTTTTGCCCCAAAAAGGGGAGCAGAGCTGGGCTCTGCCCTGGGGTGCACACACTGGGTGGGGGGGAACAGCCCCGAGTGGGCCGTGCCGTGGCACGAGCCGGGGGATTCGGCACCGCGAGGGCTCCCCTGCCGCTCCCTCGCCCTCCCCGCCAGCGCTTCTGCTCTTTTATTATTTCTTCCTCCCTTTTCTTTTCTTTTTGCCGGTTTTTATGGTGCTTCTGTACATTTGCAGCAGGGCTGACCTGGCATCTGCCTGGCGCAGTGGCGGCCCCAGCGCCCCCTGCCCCGGGGACGAGCGGGACCTCCCGTGCCCCGGCTCCTGGCCCCGTCCCCCTCCCTGGGCACAGCCCCTCTGGCCGGGCTGCAGCCGCAGCCTCCCCCCTGCCCGCGCCTCCCCCTCGCTGCTCGCCCCTCACCCCTGCTCCCTGCACTGCCCCCCGTTGTCCCCGTGGCACTGTCCCTCCCTGTCCCCGTGGCTCTGCCCCCCCAGCGGGGTCCCCCCCGCGCCCCCTGTCCCCCGGGGCAGCCGCCCGCCCGCCCGCGCCGCAGGACTCGGCCCCCCGAGGTAACCGCGGGGACACCGGCGGGGGGCGGGGGGTGTCACCTCTGGCCGGGGGGACCCTGGGTCATGGGGGGGGGTGGCCACAAGAAGCTGGGGTTGAGAGAACCCCTGGGGGGCAGCGGGAGGGGTCGCTGGGTGCGGGAAGGACCTCACGGCTCTCCCTCTTCTTTCTTCTGCTATTTGTTTTAATTTTTCTTTTTTCTTTCCTGTCGTTGTGACTAACTTTATTTATTTTTATTTTATTTATTGTGACTTCATTTTATTTATTTTTTAATTTATTTTTACTTTATAATTTATTTTTTAATTTTATTTTTCATTATATTTGAGTTTTACTTTTTGGATTTTTAAAATTTTTATTATGTCTTTTACTTTTTATCCTTTTATTTTTAATTCTTTGAATTTTTAATTTATACATTATGCGTTTTATTTTTCTTTTATTTTCCTTTTATTTTATTTTATTTTTCCTGTTTATTAATTTCCTTTTTATGTTTCATTCCTTGCTTTTCCTTTCCCTTTTGATTTCTCTTTTTTCTTTTTTCTCTCCTCTCCTCTCCTCTCCTATCCTCTCCCTTGCTTTCTTTTTTCCTTTTCTTTTTCTTCTTTTTATCCTTCTTTTTATCCTTTTTCTTCTTCACCGTTTTCTTTTCCATTTCCTTCTTTTCCCTTTTTTCTTTTTTTATTTATTAATTTTCTTTTTTTTTCTTTTCCCTTCCTTTCTCTTTCTTTCTCTCTTTCTCTTCTCTTTCTCTTTCTCTTTCTCTTTCTCTTTCTCTTTCTCTTTCTCTTTCTCTTTCTCTTTCTCTTTCTCTTCTCTTTCTCTTTCTCTTTCTCTTTCTCTTTCTCTTTCTCTTTCTCTTTCTCTTTCTCTTTCTCTTTCTCTTTCTCTTTCTCTTTCTCT